CTATGATTCTGATCAAAGAAGCAGAAATGGTCTAAGAAAATAAAAATATTTTTTTGAAAAGGCTCCTCCTTGAATCAGCAAACTGATCGTATTTTGATTCTTGATTTATTAACAACCACGGGTGAGCAAAAGTAAACAAGCTTCAATGGAAATGGAAGTCAATATAATTCCGAAAATAATACTTTGCTCCCATTTCAAAACTGAGCGTAATGCGGTTTTACTTAAAGGTCATTTGAAAACACGCATTAAACTTTTTGATCTAACGAACTTAAAGCTCGAACAAAGGATTAACAGTGGACAGTGGCACTCTCCGATATAGCCGACTGGCCAAGAATCGAAGCCGTTGCTGAGTTTAGACTACGTAGCGGATACGATTGCTTGGCAAAACATCTTCACAGATTGGGAGTATACACTCAACCCACATGCCCTCTATGTAACCTACATGAGGAAATGGAGAAGACCCACCTGATTCGATGTCCAGCTCTAAAGACAACGACGGAAAGCCAGAGATACTGGGAAGCAAGAAGACAGCTAATGAACTGCTATTAATTACCTGCTATAAATGTACCCCCCACCCTTGGGGGAAGCTGAAGTCAAAGTTTAAGGGCTAATGATAAATATCACAAAGCCTGTCATTTGGAATAATTATAATAATAAACATTTTGATCTTATTTGGGTGCGAAGAAGATATCTTGGATCTACTTTGATAATAAATTCACATTTTACCATCTCTTTTGTCTCATAGAATTATTTAAGATGGTTGGTCACCACAACGTCGGATTTACGCCAACAGCGTCGATCTCGTGATCTCTTACTTAGTAGACATGGAAGCTGACAACTGTCCCACTGGCGCATAGATGAAATGTAAATAATTGAAGTAATTTTCTCCTGTGGGTAAGCAATTGTAATAACGCCTATATTACTGCTTTAGACATTTCATTTTGATTAATAATCTATTAAAATCCAGCTAATTTCTGGCTTGGTCAAGACCAATATATGGAACTCGATATTTCTGAATAGATAATGGTTACTTGATCGTAATACCAAGGAAATATTAATAATTCAAATATTCACCGCATATGTTTCACTCATTTACAGACAATTACGTGATTTAATTCTTGTCACTTATCTCTCCTCCAAATCGCAGAAAATAATCAATTTTTCTTGAGAAGTGAAAAAAAATATTTTGACAATGCTTAAGCATGTGAAATTCGATTACATTTGGTGGAAAAATGTCTAGTACTTATCTGATTGAAATGGATACATAGCATAATAAAAACAATACATTTTTACAATTTATTAGAATTATCATGTATCCCAAACGTAAATATACGTTAGCAAACACGTGGTTTGTGCGATAGACTTACCTCCACGTGGTACACCATGGGAAACGTATACTCAAACGGTAAAAAAGTCTATTAACCGGCAATCGACTTCTGACTTCAAACTACCGTCACCCTATTGTATGTCATATTCAACCCCTTCCACATTGCTCACCTCACCTTTTGCTACCTTTGTGTTTGTCTCTTTTACATCTTTGAAATACTCTTCCGTTCTCCCTCCCCCTCCTCTGGACTCTTTTTTCACTTTGATGTTCCTTCCCCTCTGTGAAGCCTGAAGTCAACTAAAGGGCTAATGGTAACTATCAAAACGACTGCCATTTGATATAAATTAATAAAAAGTTAGCAAATACATAATTGGTAATCCATATAATCATTTGACATTACAAGGCACCGTTCTGACGAAACTTTCTATCTACTATTTAGAAAAACTATGTCTTCTCGTGCGTGAAATTTTGATATACGAACAAGGATAAATATCGATTAAAACAAACTCACTACAATTTCACCAGACAGTTTTCTTTCCAGTTCTGCTTTCTCTTCATCCACCTCTATATACTCGTAGGGTTGTGGGATCTTAGCAGCACCAATCAGTTTTTCAGGTGCAGGAGAGTAACGAAGAATGATAACTCCGAGAGAGCACATTGAGTAGGCGATCAGAGTTCCGAGACACATGAACTCGGCCAAACTGGAAATATTGAAGATTAAGGTCAACAGAGCTGCTATCCCGGCCACAGGAATACTTGCCATGAGGGGGGTCTGAAAAGAGACTTATATTTAATAATTTTGTACTTATTATAAGCATGGACAATACAATGATTTAAACTTTTGCCCTGTGGGAAAGCAACTGAAACAAGGTGCAAAAGTAATATTGTGAATAAAGCCATGGCATCAAGTGGGCCTTTCTTCATTTAAGTTCTTGAACTCGGTTGACGAAATATTTACTTGAAGGGTTGTTCAAATTTCAAATTTTACTTTTCATAACTCAACACTGAAGTAGCGTATTAAATTCTTGTCCGCACATAGTTTTTATTCAAAGTTTTTCCTTGGTATCCGAATATTAATTGTCAACAAAAAATAGTAAACACTGTTTAAGTCACAGCGACCTGATTGTCATCAACTCCTTAAACCCAAAAAGACGGCAAATACGAAATACATCTAGAGGTAATGTTCGTGTTTCCAAAAAGCATTTCACATTGTAGTATGGTCTGAAACAAGGAGATTAAGTTAACTATGACCTAAACGATCATTAACTCACATTGTTAGTAAGCAAATATATTATTCTTAGGAAAAAAAGCCCATTACAGAGATTATTTGTGTGTTTATTTTAGTAATTAATTCTGTTTTTTACTATCCTCTCAGAAAAGGCATAAAATTTACCTCAGTTAATGCCCATATAACAGCGAAAAAGAGAAATCGAATGAAGAATTTTCAAGAAAATTCCAGTTTATATCACTAATTTAGTTATCTGATACTTCATTTAGTTGGGCATTTTTAAGTAAATCAATTGGATTAAATGTGTCAGCATTGCTAGGCATCATGAACAAAAATTTTGCCTCACTACTCTCAGCTAATTAGTTTTGTCTAAGAGTAGATTGACGAATCGAAATTGGCATGGATAACTTCCTGTTGCAAATTTTATTCCCCTACCAACTCATAAGTTTCATTATAAGAACCTATGAAACAAGTGGGGGAATTCAAACGCTGGAACTCTTGGCCATAGCAAATTCTCATTATTAATAACCGTTCCGAGTTTGTTTTACCTTAGATAACAATGCTGTATTTATCAACTCATATAGAAAAACATTATCGTTTCTGATCTAAACTAAATAATATATTTTTATGATAAGTATTTTAAATCCCTCTTCAGAACTTCAAACCGATAGTAATAAAGGCAAATACTATTTTAAGTGTTTTCAAATCTATCATCGATTCAATTATTACGCAACGCATATCTAATTGCAAACCTTCCCTCTACAAGCAGAAATTCAATTTTGCATCTACCTTCCTATTGGGCAATACTAGTATTTGTGCCATATTCGCAATAACTTTGGTACAGTTTAAGGTTGACTCTATTCAAAAAAAAGGAAAACCTCAATGAAGTTCATCTCAATTTCAGTAGTTACTCTTACATTGCGGTCTCGTTATTAATAGCTCTATCAAATTCTATCACAATTCCATTAATCACTTATAGAAACCATTTTGATTGCAAATTCACTTTCATTTCCAGTATCATTTTAAAAATCTAGACTGCTCAATGACTTTTAGTTGTTTTCAGGACTAGCTACACTCAACGATATTGTAGCGCATTTTCTATTTCTAATACTTAAGATACTTAAAGATCAATAGTTTTTAATTAAGCAAATTGGTGATTCATAAATTCACACAAACCATAAAATCACCTCATTAGGCGCGATTCGGTTACCTCTCAAAAGGGTTAAAAGCACAACAAACATGAGAAATTTAAAGCAGTTTGTCGAAGACTATGAGGTATTTAAAAATCCAAACTACTTTTAATGCGGCGATAAATAGATGCACTCAGATTGAATTAACAGTTAAGTTAATAGCATGTATAAAATATAAATTAAAATCGATATTGACTTTATAACCATTTTGGAATAGTTTCATTTGATCTACCTACCTTGAAGGGCTCAACAACTTTTGAGAATATAGAAAACACCAATCCATCCTGCCCCATAGCATAGAGAATTCTCGGCGCGCCAAGAGAACTTGTCAGGAGGTTCGAGAACATTCCAATCAAACATCCGACACCAACAAAATAGAAGAGAACTGACCTGCTAACCGAATCTCCCGGCCCAGTTTCCATCGCTACCAAAAATGGGGCTCCCACATCTAGCATGTACCAAGGAACATACATCAGCAGCGCTAGAGTTGATGTGCTTAAGAGAAGTGTTACAATCCCGACAGAAATAATGTTTGCACGTGGAATGCTCTTTCCTGGATCCTTTACTTCTTCGGCACACATGGACATCATATCGAAGCCGATGAAAGCGTTGAAACATGTTGCCGTACCAGCAATTAGACCAGCCATTCCATAAGGAAGGAATGTGGTGAGATCAACTCGAGAGAGTTGAGGTTGCCAAGTGATGTTTGCGGGAAGAGGAGATAGGAGAAAGTCGGGGTTGGCATACACCAACATAAAAATCGACAAAAGTGTCAACACCCCTACATTCACAGCTGTTAGGACAAGGTTCAGCCAGGCACTCTTCTGCATTCCAAAACAAGTTGTCAGCACGACGAGAATGACCAGAGCAGCTGCGATGAAATCCAGTTGTTCGGCAAAGAAACCATTCGGTGTACCCAAACTAAAAGAATTGTACCAATAAGATCAATTATTGTTGAAATATCTAGAGCAGAAACACGGTATAGAAGCCGAGTAGATCTATTTCATTTCCCTCCTTCCCTAATGACATTAATAATTAATTAGTTCTCATAGAGGCCTACCTCACTCCATTCCTAGAAGGACAATGGAATCGTATACTCCTTTTGTCTCTTTTACATCTTTGCAGCACTCTTCTGTTCCCCCCCCCCTCTCGACATTTTTCGCACTTTATTGTTTCTTCCTTCTTCTGTGAAGCCTGAAGTTAACTAAAGGTCTAATGATGACCATCAAAACGCCTGCCATTTGATATAAATAAATATTTAAATTGGCTGCTAGAATTGCGCCTGAGTATTTAACTGTAAATTACCTAAATGACTTGTTTGGATTTGTATTAAGGCTTTCGAAAATTGAGGGAAAGATGACCCAATGACGTACAGAGGCATTGATTTAACAACTGCATACACTATCTTCTCTTGAAGTGGGATGGGAAATCGGTACTGCTAGCATGAACAACCACGACAGACCATTCAAAACAAATACGACGGCGAGTTGATTGATGCACCCTAGCCACAATGATCTGTATGCCATGTTTGTTTTACAATTCGAACACCTAGAGAAGTTTCATAGCTCCTCAAAGACAAAATCTCCGGTAAATTTTCCAGAAGAATGTTCTGAACTTAATTATCGCACGTGATGGTCTTGAGAAGGCGAAATCTTAAGATTAGTCATATGTCATTGGTAATGCACCAAAGTGCAGTTGAATGCTTTTAAAGAATAAGTAAGCGACAATGTGTACCCTTCTAAAACTCAAAGTCTGAATTTCTATGACCTCTTCCAAAATTTAAAGTCCCAATTCGATAAATCTCAGGGTTAGATGGAAAATCATTATCATTGTGTTAGTGGTACGAAACAAGGACATTTGTGTTCTACCCATTACCCGCCAGATTAGTCAGAGAAATAATAGTGACTGATTTATAAGATCAGTCAACTGTCATTTTCAAGAAGATTGGAACAGCGTAAGTTAAAGTATCGTCAAGGAACGTCTTTGAATAGCCCGTTCTTGCCAAATTAGCCAATTGAATTAAATTGGCATTTGATTTTAGAGATAACAAAAAATTACAATACACATTGGTTCATCTGTTTATTTTCAAGATAAAGCAAACGCATACTACTCACTTACTACAAGTAGTTAAAAGAAAACTTTCAAGGCATTTAAGTAGTAGAAGTAATTTGTTACACAAGCCAAATGCCTTGCACATACATAGGGGGAAGGAAGAAAAATCTAAAGACAAAAGAAAAAGGAGAAAAATCGAGTTCACCCGGAATTACTATCACACGTATAGAGAAAGAAAAACGATGAAGAGATTGAATATGGAATGTTGAGATAATGTGGGAGATGATTAGTACCGGGAACCTAAAATTAAAATTAACAAAATTATGAACGCTTAACAAAAACAAGTAGAGGTGCTATTTCAAACCCACCTCAAGATGGCGGAAGGAAAGTGGTAGGGAGAGGAGGTGTGAGTTGGACAGCCTTCGGTCCACTGGACACTCCTTGTTTACCCAAAACATTGACATATCGTGAACGTGAGATAGCGCCACCACTACTAATACTACTACCACCACCACCAGTTGCAAGGGTGCGAAGTGGCGGCTGGACACCAGGGTGACCAACGGGAGTGCTGTTTTGAGACATTGAAGGGACGGTGGGCATCTGTGGAGGAGGAGGCGGTGTGTCATCCTCTTGATCACCTCCAAGTTTGTCACGCCAGCGTCCTGTCGCCTCATCCCAAACAATCTAGAAGAGGATTAAGGTGGTTAGTTGAAAAGGAAGCGCAAAAAAAAAGAAAGTTAGAGAAGAAATCGCTTAGACCCACCGTTGGGTTAGAGTCATCGGGTAAGTAGACCTCTTGTCCACCCTTGATTCGACCAAGGAGACCAGATAACCAGCCAGACTGAAAAAGTAAAGGGAATAGACCGTCAGTTATTCCTACCCATAAATATACAGGTAGCAAAAAAACAAAAATACCTTCCCAGATTGGCCACCACTATCGTCTCCCTTTTTCTCCTCCTCCTGTATTTCAGATGGGGATTGCTGTTGAGGTTGCTGTGTTTGTCCATTGGATTTGCAATCGTTGTCACTGGAAACCGGAGGATGGGGAGGCGCGGTTGTGAAGGGAGGCGCATGATTGATTTTCGTATCCTTCTGTACATTGCGAATACGATTATCTCTTAGCAAGGACTAAAGGAGCAAGACAAAAATGGATAAAGGATGAAACTGAAGCCAAATCAAGTGAAATATAAAGAGAGAGTATAACAAGGTAAATTAAACAACATGAAGGTACAACAAGATGACAATAAAATTCAAAATGCACCACAACAGTCTGATACCTTCTGACTAAACTCAAAAGAAAGTCGAGGAGTGGGAATTCGCTCGCCATCGCTACTGTTATTGTCATAATTACCACCTTGGAAAATGATGCGGTTGTGAGGTCGTTTGTAGGCCTTTGGTCGACCACACTGCTCCTGATTGAACTTGAGATACTGCAATACAATGCGCCTACTTATTTGCCTTCAGTAGAGCAAATTTTCAAAAGAGTACATAATAAGGAAAAGTTGATTTGATAAATGAAAACATCAGTTAAAACTACACCCCAAATCACACATACGGCAATTTTGTTGCAAAATAATAACCATTTTCAAAGCATTAATTTTAAACTAGATTTTATCGACCTTTAAAATACCTCACAAGATGCCCAACTTAAACCTGTTTCCGCGGCACCAAGCCTTATCCCAAAACAAATGGACAGTAATGTAGACGAACTAATAAATCAACTTATATTATGGAGAAAAAATTCATTTGACTCGTAATGAGAGGGCAACACAAAGCGCAGGAAGAGGGCAGGAGAGGCAGTGAAAGGAGGTGTAGAAAGGAGGATATGAGTTAAGATTAACAATAAAGCCGTGGATGACTCACTCCGCTACTATTGGTTGGTGGTTGCTGCACAATTCCCGATGATCTACGTGAAATTTGATCGGGCACTTGGGGCACCTGATGGGGAACTGGGCTTGTCGAGGAAGGATCAGTTGGCGAAGGACTGGAGAGATGAGGCGTTGAATCGTCCTGAGAACTTGTCATTGATACAGTACGGGAACGGGAGATGGGCTGTTGAGAAAAGGCAGAAAAGCGATCAATACACAAGATGAGTTTGTTGGGTAAACAATAAACAGAACATTGGCAAAAGTAATTATTCATAATTTGACAAGTACTTAGTGAAATTTGTATCTAACTTTTCTTTCCCATGTCCCACTGCTATCCAAATCGTTGCACTAGATTTTTCGTTACTCATGATGTACTTTAACCACACCCAAATAAAGGAAATGTGTTGCTGCTACTTGGCCGAGTCTGAGTACCCCAAGTGACCGCGTGCTTGAAGCCGTCTAATCGACTCTCGGGGGGTAAGTGCCCTGCAACACCTAAGTTTTGACGAACTCGAATTCAAAAAAGACCGACCCACAAGTAGACACTCAAAAATCATTTCCTTCTCCGATCAGAGAAGTCGCCTAGAATGCTCAACCGAATCATGTACTTTATAACCCTGTTAAGTGCTAAATATCTGATTCATTGCTGAAAAAACGATTTGATAAATAAATCTCGCGTAAACAGGACCTTAAGTAGGAGTAGCTTTAATTGAATAACACCTGTAAGGCTTTAAAAGACCGATTTTCATTTTACCTTTGGTGTTAAAGACAACGTTTCCTTTAGTAGTATTAATAGTTAAATTAGATTTTATAGCACTGTGTAGTCCGATAAGTGTACTTAGAAGTCCTATAGTTGTATAATTAACTTCCAAGAGCATTTACAAAACTTTAATCCAATATGTACAGAGTCACTTGATAGATATGCACTGCAATTCAATAACTATAATTGATAAATTCAACAATATATAGACCATTGGAGGATCAAGATTACAAAGTAAATATTAGAAGTATCTATCTCACCTGAGGAGGACGAGCCAACCCAGCAAAGTAATCATATCCCGAAGCCGATGTTTCAGAATTAGTAACAGGTTCCACTATAGGTTCAGAAGATGGATTAAAAGTTGGCACAAAGAATGGAAGATTATTGTTAGCAGCAGTCACTGGTGACCTTAGAGGCACCTGGGAATTTTCCATTCTTACAGTGGGGGTACTAGAAGGTGGAATAGGAGCAAGAGACTGACCCAGCAATTGATTTTGCTGAGGTTGCTGGGGTGATGGTGGGGCATTCGGAACTTCAAGTGGCATCCGTATCTGCTGTTGCTGTTAATGAAGAGAAGGTAGTGTAAAATCCACAAGTACTGAAATAAATATAAGTATTATTACAACATTCCATACCTCTTGAGGGGAGGTGGATGAAGAGGTTTGCGGCGGAGAAGGCGCATCGTCATGGACTGCTGGTTGACATTGCTGTCGAGGCAGATGTGTGTTTTCTAATGTAGCAATCTTCTTTGGTTGTTGTTGAACCTAGAAATTAGAAAATGCCAAATACTACGTGGCTAAATGAACATGACGACAAGCCTGAGTTAATTTCTAAAGCTCATATATCCAACGATGAAATTAATACTAATCATTGCACGACTTCAAACCTAGCCGAGGTTGCAATATATACTTGCTAGACTAAACCGCTTCATATATTTGCCTATGCACATAGTTCAAATTTTTAGAGCTCTGAATTTTAAACACTAAAATGATAAAACTGGTAAAATTCAAGCTTCTTCCAATGATTACATTCGGATTCGCGACTGGAGGTGTACTCTGATGAATAATAAGCCATTAAATAAGGGAAAACCATTATCGGTTAACAGCAGAGATATAAACGCTAAATCATGATAGACTTACTGGTAAAAAGGGGGTAATTAATGAACTGATCTCTAACTCCCTGAACTCTAACAAATTCCGAAATCTGATGTTTTTGCAATGCGTTAGAACATGAATAAACGACTTTGGGCATTGAGTGCAAAGCACGATCGAACTAATTTTTAAAGGAAATACATGGAATTTATTCTGTTTCTAGTTAATGAAAAACTCCTTAGTATCCTATACACGTTCTCAGAATAAAAAAATTGTCAAAAAACCTGATGAGCATGAGGAGATTGATGAATAATCTGCTGCTGTTGTGGAGGTTGATTTGGTTGCGCCGGCAGATTTCGTTGGTGTTGAAGATGGGATTGCTGGTGTTGTTGGACTGTTGGAAAAACAGTTTTTCGAATTTGAGGTACTTGCTGTTGTTGTTGTTGTTGCTGGGTTGGCCTTTGATCTTGTGGTGGATCCTGATCTGACGGCTCTTCAGAAGGTGAAACACGAAGTGGATCTACATATGGTCGATCGGAATTCGGCAAACCCAGCTGAACAAACAGAGAGTAATGCATCAGACCATTAATACCACCGATTCATATATCTGCACACCCTTATTGTCCCTGATTTGTTAAACGGCGATCCACAACAAACAAATGACACGAAAATCGACCCCTCCATTACCATCATCCTTTATGCAACCCGGCTCCACTTATTCAGCGCTAACGCTTTTGCCCACTGCAACAAATCTCAATTTCGCCTACAATTACACCATTTTTCTGCATTCCTCCAATTTTGGCTATTCAGTAACCTAGTCGATTTTAAGATCATTCGTTTTTGACCAGACTTTTAAAAATAACCTGGTTGAACTCTTAAACCAGATCTGTTTTCTAGATTATGGCCACGTTAGCGCCTTGCAAAGAGAAAACAGATAGTAGAGACTAATATGTGCTTAAAATGGCAAAACTATTATTTCCACGCATAGTAGAGTATTAACAATTTTGAGTTTGGAAAGAAAATAAAATTAGGATAAGTGAGAATCTAACAAATGATAAAAGAAAAAAACATCAAAGAAAAAAACACCAACCCATCAATAATTCTTGGTTCGATTGACTTTTTATATGGGATTAAACGGTTAGTAAAAAGTAAGGAGCTCGTATTTCGAAAAATCGATATTCGCTAAACGTTCCAAAGATTGAATGAATTCTTGACCAGTTACAAAAGTAATTGTGCTCAGGCGAAAATTGGGAATATTATAACTTGGTAGTCGGGGTGCGCGATAGACCTACCTCCATATGGTGCACCCAGTGACTGATATTCCTCCTCTCAGTGAAGCACAAAGTCAACTAAATGGCTAGTGATAACTATCATAAAAGCCTGCCATTTGATAGAAAATAAATTAATTAGGCAATCTGTTGAAGCGAGGATTTTAGAAAAAAACGAGAGAAGGCATTATACCGGCCAGTGAGTTATGGGCCACTGAGCATCAATGAATAAGAAATGACTAGCAAATGTTCCCAAGTGATAGGCCATCTAATCCATAAAGACAAACAACAGGGAGATGCCTAAATGCCCATAATAAGGAATCAAGACCTCATATTGATTTTCCATAGGAACGGAACAGCAGTCTCTCCAAGCCATTATGTCAAATGCAGGCAGTGCAGTACAGAACCGAGCATGTTTAAAGCCACCTGAACAAGCATTAGGTTCTATCGAGGTCACGTAAAAGTACTTAAAGATCCAAACAGCTATTGGGGGAAAACACACGAACCTTTTCGCATGTGCATCAACGTGTTCGCAAGCACGTACACTCCATTCATTTAAAAAAACACGAATAGACCCTACAATGCACACCAAAATCAAATTGTCCAATATCTGAACATGGAATGAAAGTCTGCCAATAAGGACGTAAGAAAACTGCTCTTTTGAAGCAGTCATGAAGAGAAATTTGTGTCCTACAAGATGAATTCCGCAAAAAGTGCAATAGGAGATATAAAAACAAACTTACCAGAGACGAGATGCGTTGACAAACGCCTCTCAGTCTTTCTATCCATTGCGGGCAAGGTGGAGCGGAACTTTCACGGAGAACATGGCAACGACTAACCCCTTCCATTTCAAAGCTACCAACCTCTGGATGATGTTGCAGACGTTCAGACAGCCGTAGACACTGAGAGGCAATTAAGTAAAGAGCCCTCAAATCGATTGGTGACATATCGGACTCCTCGAGTTCCTGTACAAGATTGGAAACTGAGTCACTTAGCATCTCCAGGTAACGAAAGGCCTTTTCAATTAAGCCAGCATCGACCAAACGCAGACAGTATGCAAATTTGAAGGGCTGAAAGAGATAAACAGACATGCTAGACACATTATGTAATTCTTAAACCAGCAATACACATTTTTAAGGAGAGAATTTTAACATGCTCCCCAACTGCAAATGAAGGCCACAAAAGTGCTTTTGTTAGTTCATTACAAGAATCTAATTCATGGAACACTGGTGAAATAATTACTACGGTATTTTTTTCACAGCTTACAAGGAAGTTGGGTAAAAAGAAGTGTTTATCCCTAGTGGCCAAAGCGAGAGCGAATTCATAGATCTCTGTGAGTTGAATTGCCTCCGTGGGGGCCCGTTCAACTTCACTTGTAATGACAAATCGACCAGAGCATTCTTCAGAAGAATTAGACGGGGCAGAGATGCCTAAGAGCCAGATTCGTGGAGGCAAGTGCGGAGTGGCGGTCGTGCCTTGATTGGAATAGTTAGCGGCAAGAAGGAAACAGAGATGAGCTGCGAAAAGAAGTCGGCGTGCTAAGAGAGATTCACCCATTCTTTCAAGAGAATCTCGAGCCAAATCACCGTGGCCTTCAGGAGCAGAGAGTAGCATGGCCAAATGGGGCCTCCAGTCTCCTGTGTCCGTGCCTACAAGACAAATCAAATTAAGCAATCAAGAAGATGTAATTAAAAGGAATCGCAGACCATCAAACATGAATGAATAGACTTTTCAACTTCTATACCATTGGTGAAATAAGTATGGATCCAACTCTGAAATGATGCAAAATGAGTTCTGATACCTTAATTTTTAGGGGATGATAATAAATGCAAATGTAATTCAGTAAGTTTTTTCTAAAGGCGAGGCTACAGATGACAAATGAAAAACTTTGTCATAAGACCAACACTTACATACGGTCATTTTAATTTGTGTGACAAGTGTGCTTGCACATGCAGTGTTGTAAATAATGAGTGTCATTTGGTGACGTAGACAAATGCACAAAAAACTGCACCGCTATTTCTCAGGCTATCTACAGTCTTTGAAAGACAACAGAACACAGTGGCTGAACACGGCTCAACACTATACTTGTGTCTAAAGGAATTTCATGGCCCAAACAATGACATCTATGGTGTGTTTGACCAGACTATTCAAATCAGGAGGAGCCTCAAAAACCTAGACAGAGACCTTGATCGGTTATTTGAGGGTCACAAAAGGCAAGATTATCACTTGGTTTTATATATTTGGAACCCGGTTAAGTAATGGCAAATACCATTTAATTCCTATTATATAAATATGACGCATGCAGTTAACTGAGAAGAGCCGATTTATAACTTTTATTATATAGCTTTTCATTTCAGTTCATTGCAAACGAAGTTTTGTTCACTTGAAGACGAATTTGACCTTGTCTAATAACCAGAATGATACCTCAATATGTGCAAAGTGAAAGTCCCGTTTAGCTAACTAATCTTTCGGTTGGAATAGTGCTTATTACAAATGCCACTGAAAACTATTTACAGTAGCTATTAGAACTAAAATACGAGTTTGGAAAGGTAAACCGAATACTTACCACCAGTATACGCGAGTTGATCAACAGATCGTGGGATTTCTCCAGCAGTGAGCTGGTAGAGGGTGAGGAGAGGGTCAGAGGGATTGACAGCCCGAGAGAGGAACTTCTCCATTACCCGATCAAGAGGTCCAGAACCCAGACGCATAGCCAAGGCAAAAGCATGACCCCAGAGCTGAGTCTGACAGGCTTGGTCCAGAGCTTTCAATGGGTGGCCGTGCATGAGCAACTAAGAAGAAAAGAGGCAAACCACTTACATTTTGAGAAGGCAAACTCCCCTACACGATATAATGTCACCTAGATATGATGCTGAGGTGAACACTTGAAGATTGGTGTACCTAAACAAGTTTTCATGTCATTAATTGTAGCAAATTGGTGGTTCCTTATACTTAAGGCTCGATTGCCTAGTTAACCGGAGCTTGTAATTTACTTTAAAACCGAACATAAATGCTTACAAGAACAACAAGTCTGCAAATAATTAGTTTATTGACTTGGTCTATTTATGAAGGCATTATAACCTAAATAATGAGCATAAAGCAATAAAATTAGCTTAAAATAACTATATTTCGGAACATATCTTACACAAAGACTTATGGTAAAAGAGGTAGCTGAATTAATGCTAATTAAAAGCTCTGACACTGCAAACATGAACAAACAGCGAGGTCGTTTGGGGCTAAATCTTAAAGTTGGAACAAATCTAGAATTCAGATAAAGGCAATTTGGATGGCAAACAGCTTTCATTGTCTTAAGTGCTTAGGTGCTACTCCCTTGATTGAAGGTCGTACTTATGTGCTTCCATGGATAAGGATGAAGCAAGGAGGTAATCTTAACTGTTACTCACCTCCCTAAATCGCTGCAAAGCAGCAGCGTCTCTTTCTTGGGCGTTTCCATATTCCGCCAGTAAACCTTTTCGCATCATTCTCGAGATAGACATTCCGCCCGTAGATGACCCGGCAACACTTGCTCTACCACTTTCAGGCTGCTGCTGGAACGCACGCATGGAAGCTGAATGAGTTAGTGCGACTCGAGGTGACTCACGACCTGAGTTCGAGTCCAGGTAAAGACCACCACTGCCTCCGCCCATTGCTGTGATTGGAGTTACATTGAAGGAACTTTGACGAGTGACACGGTTAGCAAGAGTAGGAAAAGGAGATACAGAAGAAATGTTGTTTGATGGAGGATAGTCATAGACGAAACGAGAGCTATCACTACCCATTAAGAGGTTTACCACATCTCCTGGATGAACAACCTAGAAAGAAAAGAAAAGTATAACAATGCATTCAAGGCATCATACAAACCACTCAGGTAGTTTAGAGAAGGAAACGTCAAAAACATCAAGCTTCTAACGACTAACTCATCTCCATGTTAACAACTAACAACTTAGGAAAAGTGTTAGAAATGTTTAAATCTTGAAGATAAAATGTGAATTTGAAACGATGAGTGCTTCACTTCTGGACTTGGTCTAGCTACAAATTGGCGACACAAGTGACCGACTTACATTATTTATTTAAGATAGCTGAAGGAACTCATGAAACCCATACAACCATATTTTTGTTAATGGAAACATTGATATCCAGAGCCTGAGCAATCAAAGGCGATAAATGCCCTTTGAAACTCGCATTGTCAAATGCCTCCAGATTATTAGCCTGATCAACCACAGCATAATACGTCAATAAAAATGCTTTATCTAGAACCTTCCGAGTCTTCGTATGCAATTTTCAACATAAAAAATGGAGTTACCCCATTATTCTTAATGAGAAGTTCCAAATACGAGAGTAATAGACTAGCGGAGTCCCAATCAATAGGCATACGATCTTGGATGTCTTCCACCTTGCCTCTCAGGAAGGCCTGAACATCATGTTTGAGTGTAGCGCCAAGACAGAGAGGACCGGGATAGAGAACATGATCAGTTCGGTCCCAAGCATTCACTAGTCCAATATATTCCTCCTCCTCTTCTTCCTCAGCCAATTCATCTTCACCAATCCGAGAATCCAAATCGTCTTCATTTGTGTTAATGTAGGAGCTGGAAAAGTGTTGCTGGTGATGAGCAGCGGTTTTGTTGCCACGAGATGTCATGGAAACAGCAGAAAGGCGATTTGTAATTTCGGCAACAACGTTGGAAGCCAACTGACTAATGTCAAGGAGCTCCACTCGTCCAGGCTCACCATCTTTAGGTCGATTTGGCAGGACCTGCGAAGAGAAATATAGGAAATAGCATTTAAAAAGTGCATCGTGAGGCTACCGGCAGCATTAGAGCGTCCATATTCAGCAAAAGTGATAATAGAAGGTTTAGCGAAATTTTAGAAGAGTTTTTCCACAATAGTATAAACAGTCTGATAAAAACACACTTAAAGCTTCTATTTATACCACAAGGCGAGTGAATTTAGGATAATGTTCCCGAATATCTCAATCAGAGAATTCAGCAGAAAATTGTACAGCCAAGTTTAAGAAGAAGACTTCGTCTTTGAGTTTCTATTACAATTTTTTCTACTTACATTAATCTAAAGCTATCTTTGAGCCATCAGATCTCAATTAAGTCAAGACAAATCGAGAAAAACAACAAATTAAAGCCATGTTGGTTAAAGCAGCCAACAGCGCTAATTCCTGTAAACCCCTAACTCAAGGAAATTCGAGGGGAAAGATGAAGTGCTCAGGTGTTTGTGAAGGGTTGCTGAGAGGAATGTATATGTACTATCGACAGAAACGATGGTCTTCGGGCACAATGACCAAAAGAGACCAGCCATGCCTGATGTCAGAATAATTTAAGTCTTACAAAAAGACAAAGGCAGTTGACACCAAAATCAACTAACAAGTAGGGGGAAGAGGTAACCTTGACAACAAAAGGTAACCGAGAAAGAAATAAAAAACAGATTTATTGATTAAAATTGGGACACAATATCCATCGAAGTGCCTTAAACTCTTAAACTTTTGAATTACTCTCAATCTGGTAAAATACTGTTGGTCTAATGTGGAGATTTCTCTTTCATTACATGTTAATCGATGTAAAATACTACCAAAGGTAAGAATACGTGGCTCATATACTCTTTAATGAATGAAGAAAACAAGCCTCTAAAGTCAAAACTTGGAAAAATACTCACTAATTTGAGCACAAGGACCGCAAAGTGCTATAAAGCTAAAACGAAGTGTTTAAATTTATTGGAAGAAACTGGTAAATTATAGGTGAGATTCTCAAGTGAGGCAAATTAAACATAACACTAGTCAAAGGTGAGCTGATCCAGAAAACGGCCACTTAATACATCCCCCCCCCCCCAAATAATTTTATCTCCGACTAGGAATAAATAGACACTGAAATGTACTAATTCAAACCTGGACAAAGGGAAAAATACACTGGTAGGCTTTTTACTGGTGCGATTCGAATTTGTATAATCTGATAAGGGAGAAACGCGTGACTGATGCCCCAAATCATCCAGAGAAAGTTAAATATTCTAAATGAAGTGAACAAATACGTAGCTCATCCTTCACTGAATCCATGTAAAAAATTTGACATAGAAAGCTGAAGGATTGCTGTCTCAAGGAAATCAAGCCCATCATCTTTATCAATACACCAGGAAGGGCTTATTTTAATAGATTTCAATGCATAAACTATTACCAATCCGGTTGTGATCTGAAAAATTGAACATCAAAATAGAGAGAAAAGTTGTATTTATATAGTCCCAGTTTTCCACTTAAGTGTTTTGAAAATAAATATACGTTCACCTAGTTGTTCTACCTCCAGATCAGTTAACGATAGTCTAGCAACCATTGCAACAAATAAAGGGTTAATACTCTTGCAGTACTCAAAATGAATGCACCAAGTGGCAGAAACGACGGTGACCTCTGATTTGACAAACATGCGCCCTGACAACTGTACCACTAGCAATGATTTACTTATAGTTAAAGAATGCTTACCTGAATAAGAAGCCCAGGTGTTGCAATAGTAGCTCTAATGTGGGGTTCAATAAAGACTTTTGGAGTAGTTCTACCAGTAGGAAAGGGGAAACCGTTAGCGGCTGCCAAGGCCCCCAGGTAGTATTGATAATAATAGGCCGGATAATCAGACGCCTGACCGAAGCCTGGCATTTGCATTTGAGAGGGGTTTGTTATTTGACCCCCCGGTAAACCTAAACGACCCTGAATTGGCATCTGAGGCCACCCGGGAAAATTAAAAGGGGGTTGAAAGTGCTGTTGAACTTGCTGTTGCTTAACGGCCTGTCCCGGGGTTTGAGTCAAGGTGACAGCACTTATAGGAACATGACGTTGGGATCGCTGGACATGAGAACGTCCAGGAGGATTTCCAAACTCACAACCGGGGTAGAATTGTCTATAATAGTTCTGCATCAGTTGATACCACTGTGTGTAGGGATCCACTATGAAAGGAAAACAATGGAGACTTATTCAAATAGGTAGTGGGAATAAAGTGAACGATTATTAAAAGTATTCGGGCAAAGAAAGTGGAGTAATATGCACTATGTGGCGGCTGAGACATGCAAGAGCTGGACAGTCAATATTAAAAACATACCTGGAAGAGGATCAACCATGGCTTGAGCTCTTTGTACTTAAATGAATATCATAGGAAGGAGAATTTAAAATAATAAAAATGTAAGAGCAAAGTAAAGAACCTACTTTCCGAAACAATACTTTCCGGAGTAGAACAGCGATTATGAGAAAACTCGTCAAAGCGATTTCCACCGCGTTTATTGCGTCCTAAACTACGCGTTTGCGAAGGCAGAAGTGAAACAGGTTCTGCCGAATTCCTTTTATTGGTAGCTGATTTAGACAAATCCACAGACGACGGTTGAAGTCCAACAAGATCTTCGGCAAAAGACTTCGAACTGAGAGAAGGATCCCCTGGCTTTTGAGCATAAGAAACGTTTTGAGGTGGATCCGGGGCAGCCAAATCAATAAGAGCAAATGGATCTTGTGGTGGATTAGATTCATGAGGGATTGAATCTATGGGAGAACCGCTTTGGAGTATACTACCTTGCAGATGTGTAGGGCTATTCCTAAATAAATAGACAAATTGGAAAGTTAAAGGTAACTTACTGAAAATCACCACCGTGATTCATAATAATTTAATACAAGCCTGAATATCACAGATACACCACCGAAAGAATGACGTTGGGGGAATACGAAAGATCCGCGCACCATTTAATTACTAAAAGAAATAATAACAAATTCTCAAAACGTAAGAGTATAGAACAGAAGTAAATTTTTATTTGCACATATAATTTTAACTTAATAATTTTGAGTGTTAAGATTACGCTACTAAATGTTGAGACGTGCATTTAATTCTATTAAAAAAGGACACAGCCAATTATAATGAAACTAATGTTTTAATCATTATGGATTCATTATTTAAAAATTAAATGATTTGATTAGTTTAAAAGAGTTTTTGATTAATTGGAAATCGTGATCATATAATTAGATCGCAAACGAGGTAAGCGTGTCTGAATAATCAAAATGATCTCAACGGTATAAATGCTTCTCTGAAGCTGCGAGATTAATGAAATAGATTTAGGTGCAAATTCAGAAGAATTAACGCCAGTAAACTAAGTCGGTTTAAAAAAGTTCAAAAAGTAGTGTCTAAATGGCACATTAAATAATTAAATGATTCATAATCCTGTATTCAAACAAAAACACTAAGTAGACGAGTAATTAAAATATCATCTGAAAATTTATCAAAATAGTATAATAATTACGAATTTTTCGGTATAAATGAAGATTATTTTAGAAGCCTACTCATGAAATTCTATATCCACTGAATCACACAATCTTCGCTATATATTATTTCTCTAGGTATATAATTTCCCTGCATAAAACTAAATACAAAATATAATCATTTAAAACGGTGAATTATAAATTTCTATTAAATAGAACTAGGTTTTAAGGCTTTGCAATAATTTGGAATATTTAAACACGGCGAAGGAGTTCTGCTAGAATCGAATCGATCAGATTATTTACGATCGCGTGATCAGTAATGAATTCTCAAAATCCGGGCCTGGGGAAATTCGCGAAACCTATTTCCAAAAAATGCACTGTTTGTGCAACGAATGAGGCAAAATACACATGTCCACGGTGTGCTATTCGAACATGCTCTCTTTCTTGTTGTAAATCACACAAGCTAACGTATAGTTGTTCTGGCAAACGTGATGTTGCTGCTTATGTTGATAAAGAGGACTATAATTATTTTAGTTTTCTGTCTGATTATCGATTTTTGGAAGCGATAGACAGACTCAACGATCGCCTTGCAAGAGATATCAGCGAGGTAACTTTCTCATATTCTTTTTAATTTGACTTTTCTCCCCTACATGTAACCATTTTTTCTTATAGAATCGACGTATTGCTAAAAGTCGTCTGAAAATGCAGTGTCGAGTCATGAGCATGGCGCGTTCTCTTGGAATCAATTATCGATATTCCCGATCGCCACTTCTCACAAGAACCAAGGTGAATCAGACCCACATTGTTGGTGATGAGTCGCCTTACATCTCTTGGACCATTGAGTTCTGTCTGATTGATCCACTCCTAACTGATTCTCTTAGTAATACCGTGTCCTGTTACCAATCATTTCCTCAATCAGTCCATATTTTAGTTCACAATTGCTGTCCTTCCTCGTTGATTTCCGAAATTTGGAAGACAAAAGTCTCAAATTTGTCTAGTGAAAATCAGGATTCTTTGGCCAATCCAGACCTCGCCCTTACCTCTGACCCCACCACTCCGAATCCTTCTGTGACAAGTTGGACCTTGCCATTGGGGGAAGATCTCCCTTTCTTCTACATTGATTGCTTCGACAAAACCACAAAGCACATCTCTAGGCACCACATTCTCGCCTCCTCCACCAGTCTTATTGATGTGCTAAAACATGAAAATTACATTGTTCGTGAATTTCCCACGATATGGGTTTCACAAAAGCAAATCCTTCTATGAGTCCAATCTAGTGTAATTCAAGTGTACATGAAGATGGATGCTTTTTATCAGATTAAATTGTACAGCCTCTACTCTTGTTGCCTGCTTTTCTTGAATCGCTGCTTTAGAATTGGGTGTGATGAAGTTGCAGCGATGTCGTTAATCTCACAGTGGAATATTTGCAGTATTATGGTGTAAAGTGATTGCCTGAAATAGGTGATGACAGATCGGCTTCACTTCCAATCCTAGGATTAGCGGGTTTCGGATTTACCGAATGCATCTACTTGGTCCTCAATGATTTGTTGCTGTTGTTGAGTCTAGTAATCAAACATTACTACAAATTAAGCGGAGTTTGGTCATGTGGGTCTTGCCTGTGGTAATTTAGGCACATTATTGTTGTTAACGTCCGCCCAATAAATCATGCCAATACTGATAATAATATTTATGCAAGGGAGAGGGGGAGATTCATAAAAGGTCAGTTGTGCCTTGATGAAGCAACATGTATTCAGGCACAAGGGAAACGGGGTAAAACGGTCACATAGCTCGATCAAAGTTTCCATGGTGGCAGTAAATGTACAATGTAGTGGATTGCTACACAAATCGGCCAGATGTATCCTCAGTGATCGATATGGGAAATATCCTGTTGTGGGTAATCTCACGTAATTAGCTGATAATCAGTCAGTCGAGACGTAGAAGCGACTCTTCGACCACTCAATGGCAGGAAATCTTGGGCCGGGGTATGCGTGATTTTAGGGTCAACAGTATCTGTAGGCAAGAATTTTAATGGAAGTGTGGGTGCGGTTGAGGCAGGGGTATTAGGTGGGTGTGTTCTAAAAGTGGGTGCAAATTCAGCAATGGAAGGTATAGGGTGATCTGAATAAGCACTATCCAGGGAGCGTCCACAGTAAAAAGTTGACATAATTTAAAGTCTGCTCGATGCCCGAATTCCTTAGTCTCCTCTTTCAGCGTCGGCTACACTCTGGTCGCTGACTTATCAAAGACTGCCAGTGTCAATTTTCCTCTCAAGTGTCGTTTTTGGGTAGCTGGATGGTTGATTTTTATGCATGATGGTTTGCTGCACAGTAGACTGCAGTATATTTTGTGGGAGCATTCAAAAGTTGATGGATACAGTCTCGGAAGCATTAACCTTTTTTTGCAAGGCATGGAAACCGGCAACGCATGAGCATAAATCAGGTAACCTTGTCATCTTGAAAGTCAACATAATAGAAACCGGTGTTTAGGGCTTCTATTTCGGGTGCTTTTTGGACAAATTTTGGTTGTTTGCTGCGGTAGGCCTCACCACTTTTCTCATGCACTTATTACATCTCCTCGATGATGTAGTTGAATATTCTGGCAGAAAGTTGCGATAAGCTCCTTATTTAGAGTTGAAATTATCAGCTTGATTTGGAATCTCTTTCGGGAGTACTTGTTTCAAAATTGGGAAGAGATCAGTATCGAATTCGTTAACTGGATTGACTATCATTGGCCACTGTTGACACAGGTTTTCAGTAAATCCTGCTTTGATTAGCTCTTGGAGTTTGATGGAACAGGTAGAAGGCAGCACTGCATGAAAGGTTGTAAAATGCTTTTTGCTCTATGTAGGGCACAGTCGGTGAATTAAGATCTTCCTGTTTTGTGACATCCCTCAAGCATTCCACTGAAGGATCCGTAGAAGTTGTGAATCGCCCTGATGAGTTCGAGTTCTCTTATAGCTTCGTTTCAAGCTAATCATAATAATTTGAAGTCAAATGCGAGTAATAGACACTTTTGGCCTGTGAATATACGTTGTCTAGGGTGCACCACGTGAAGGTTAGTCCATCGCGCACCCCAATATATACCAATATATTAACATTAGATAGCATCATCAAGAAGACATTTTCAACGCACTGAACAAAATATCTGTGCAAAAGTACTCAAATTCGAAGCTGTGATCAAGCTCAAATTTTTCACCTATTTTAATTGCAAAATGTAAACGTTTGTTTTAAAGTGTGAATAAGTATTTCACCAATAGAAATGAAAGTAGATATTTCTACGTGCCTGTGTAGCATTATGGTGATTTTGTGGACTTGGTGAAAAGCTTATCACAACTAATTATTTCGGCCATTCTCCAGTTTTAATCGTTTTCAAGCAAATGATGGCCAGAGATATCTGTTATATCTGTGATAAATGAGTGGATATAAGCACATGAT